CAAAGTTAGCCTCCAGAGATATCAAAAATAACTTTCCGTAAAATAAAAACTGAAGAACAAGAAGGTGGGAACAGACTTTTGGGCTACAGGGAAAAGCTCTACAGCTGAAATATTGATTATCCAAAGAAGAGTGATAATTTAGTCCCTGAAAGTATCTTTTGTGCTATTATTCATGTGTATGCAATAATATATCTGTACACTTACCACTGTAATTTGTCACCGAATAAAGCCCTTTTCTCGTAATAATTACTACCAGGTTGAAAAGAAATTGAAAGTTAATTGAAGTAGAAAAAGTTAATGTTTATGAACTGTAAGGCAAAACTTGTCTTTCTCATGAACGTATCATACCTGCCAACTCTTCCGGATTTTCCGGAAGATTTTATTTTCATATTTAAAGTGGTAGCAATACTCATGTTATTCCAATTAACTTTTTGAATTATAATGATAATCACAAATGAGTTTGACCACCACTACATATAAATAATTACAATAAATATATAAAAGCATTATAATCCTTGCACAAGCGAATTTCAACAAGATCAAAATATAATTATATTTTTGAGTCAGATTGATTTTCGTTTATTGTATAACAACCACTCTAAAATTCCATTCTCGGAAGGAGTGAAAGTTGACAGGTATGACGTATGGATTTATGCCACAATTTTCGAATGAGAACATGCTGCGCCTAATCACATTTTTACAAGTAAAAAATAAAGAGCATGCTTACTTCGTTTTCGTAAAATACATTAACCCTTTGACGAAGAATTTTATATAGCATATTTTTCTTATTACATTTTATTATTAGATTAAATTATTAGCTCAAATTAAATGCATAATATAAAATGAATATTTTAAATAATAATTATTGGGTAAAAATAGGCATTAATTTATGTTAAAATAAATTAAATGTTATTTAGCATTTTAAAAATTATTGGTTATGGCATACGGCATGAAACACCGGAGATTTTTTTCTGTGCTAAAAGGAAAATATTCCAAACACTGCTCACTTCCAAATTTTCAAATTTGTACTTATTTTGTGGAATTATTTTAATCTAAGTGAAACAATTCTTCATCACTGAAATTTAATTTAAAATTTTAATTTTCATTTTTGATAAATTTTTGAATATGAATGAAAAAAAGTTCCCTTAAAACTACTTCATTTGGATTTTATATTTAAGTATAAATATAATTCCGATAATCTAACAGATATTTTAGTAACTATCAGACTGTTTTTTTTATAATTAAAAGATACCACAATAGCTTGCAATTAAAGCGTTAGATTGGTTGGTTGGTTAGTTGGATGCATTGGCACAAGATCCAGAAATGGCTATACTGCGCCAGGCACAAGGTTAACAGTCGGTCTCTAGGTCAAACTACTGTTTTTTTTTAAAGAAGGGAATAATATAGTCCTTTAGTCTTGAAAAACTTTAAAAGTTTGCGATGTATAGGGTCACCAAGCAAAAGATTGAAGATTGCGATAAAAGCTTAGAGAGTTAGGAATATATATATAAATGGAATTCCTTTTATAATATATATATATATATANTTATAAGGAATTTCGAAACAATTTATTTGTTTTTTTTTATGTAGGATCATAAATCAGTCTGAATTTCCAGATTGGGATGATGGTTGTTCGCGATCGTTCCGACTTTTGATTTCTAAGATACTATGATAGAAAATAGTGATGATCCCTAATGGTACAACAATGCATTTTCATGATGGTTTAATAAAAGTTATAGTTGGTTACCGCCTAATACCACCAAATTAATTTTCTTTCTTTTTAATGTTGGTATACCAAAAATCAGTCCAAATTCTTACATTGAGGTGATGGTGGTTCATGATCGATCCAACATTTGATTTCTAAGAAACTATGATGAAAATTTCTGACGATTCAACAAGATCAAATCATCAAAACGAATTGCTATGATTATGTTGGACCATCTTAAATCAGTCGGAATTCCTACTTTGGGGTGATGGTTAATTATGTTAGTTACCATCAAAAATATATTGGTTCATCAATGAAAAAAGCCATCAAACATTTTGACTCAGGAAATAAGGTTAAATGTTACTTTGCTTTTAGAAAAAATAAATTAATAAATGTGTGATACTATATTGAATAATATCACTCGTAAAATATATTTATGACCTGAATTTTTCTTAGAATTCATATTTTTTTTCATATTTCAGTTGTTGTAACTTAAATACCTTACTTAAATACTTCAGATTCAAGATAGTGTATAGATATCATTTTAATGAAGGATAATTTTGAAATAAATTTATACGAATGACAAGATTACGTGATGTATCTCTGTATTAAAATAATTCGAATTTTAATTCCTCTCTCTATGCGTTTTGTTTATTATTTTTTCAAAATTTATCTCAACAATTGTACAGAAAGAAGCAGTCTCATATCTTTCATTTCTATAGATTATAAAGTTGCCATTTAAAAAGCTGCACTTTTAGTTAAAGCGCCAAATTCTTAAAATTACCTTTAGGTAAAGTATTTTGTTATGCTTTAGAAGCTTGCAAAGATATGAAAATATTCTAGTTCAAAATCTAAAATTACGAAGCAATTTTAAAGTTTAAACTGTAATACAGTTTGAACTATTCGAAATTATTCGCTTAGAAGTTCATTATGCTTAGTAGAAATGTTAAATTCACAAGTGTTTAAACTATTTCTGAGAGTAAGCAGATACACAGGGGAACTAAAAACTATATTCAACCTTATCTGTTAAGCATTGTTTAGTTTTACAAGGAAATAATGTGAGATAAATAAATACCACTGCTTTGAAACAATAATGAGCATCGCGTTTTTGAGTGTTAAGGTGACAAGGGACTTTCAAATAAGCAAAAATTTGCCAAAAATAAAATCAATTTTTTTTAAATTTTTTTTTATTTTTCAAATCTAGGCATTTAACTGAACATTTTAAAGAAACAATTTCTTGAATAAGTGCAAAATTGATGAAGTTATGGCCATTTCTGTTTTGACCACACCCTTTTGACACACTGCAATGAAAAAATAGTAAAGATCATTTTTCTCAAAATGTCTTTTTTGACAAATTTACAAATTTCAAACAGTTCCAGTGAAATGAATTTTCATTCCATTGACCTGAGAATTTGATGCTATATATTTATGAATATCATTAACATTTTGCTGGAAAATCTTTTTGAATTAAGTAAATAGTATTTTTATACATGATATTTTATAGCGGTATGATGATTTTTTTTCCATAAATGCAGTTTTTTCACTGTTTGCTTCAATAATAAAAAATTTAAAAGTACTCCCAACAATTTATATATTACCTAATATGTATTATTTTAAAAGAATTTTTTCATTTTAATAAAATTTCAGACGCGAGGAATATGAAAAAAACATTAAAAATTGGAAATTTTAATTGTTTTTAAATTTCTTAAATTTGAAAATATTTTTATGAAATTTTGCTATTTTTAAAAATATAAATGCATTCTGATAATTTTAAGGAAATCCCTTGATAATTTCTAAAACAATTTTTGAAAGTCCGCTGTCGCCTTAAACTAATCACTTAAGTAAAGCTGTTTGTAGGAACTAGAACGAATCTCTCATTAACACTACAAGGACTGAAATTCGCTGTGTACTTAGACAGTCAGTCTAAAGAGTGTCCTTCAGTATTTTCAGTTTAAAGCAATTACTTGTTTAATAATTGCCAGCTCCAAACTATTCTGACGATACCACTTGAAATCAAACTGAAAAGTTTAATCGATTTTTATCTCAAGAGAGGAGCGGAAATATCTTTGCTTCTTTTTTTGTTATAAATGAATGATTTTGAGTAGAATTCAAATGTTTTAGCAGCAGACTTATTTATTTTAATTCAAAACATTTTCGAACGCTGCACAGAGAATATTTTTAGTCTCTTATTCATCAAAATAAAAGTTCTTAAAAAATATAGATATAGAAATCACGAATTTTATTAGTGCATTTAAAATAGAACAATCAAACCACATTCAATAGGAATGTTTCCAAAATAACGATATAATTCTCAAAAAGTAAAAGATAAAATTCTTAAAAAGGTTAAAACAAATTGGAGCTGGCTCCAAAATCTCCGTGTCTTGAAATAGACCCATCATTGAAGAATATTAATGATTTGAAATTTGGCGAAGAAAAGTCAAACCACACCATACATTTTTATTCCACACTCTAATTTTTTAAAAGAGTCCATATAAGTTCAAATTCGCATACTACCTCATCATGAAAGAAAGCATTTTTAGATAAAGATACGTAAAACATGAACCAAATACCAGATATAATATATTATGATTTTATGAATTCAATAATTCAGAATCACTAAGCACAAGATCTTTTCTGTTGACATCCAAGAAAGACCATACGCTACTACAAGAGAATGTCGTGGTAAAAGCCAGCTGCTTCTAATGTATCGCACGTGATGGTTGAATGAAAGATCATTCTCTCGAAATCTTTCATACATAATGCATATATAGTATTAAGCTTTACATAGCCTATACATTTGCACGACTTCATTGTGCTTTTGAAACGACGACAAGAAAGTTGTCATCACTATCTAATAACGAGATGTCACATCTATTTCACCTCTATGCTCTTAAAGTGTCTAAAATAGATGCCATCAACTCTCTAGTATCAGAATTTGGACAAGAGTTTCAAAAACATTCAGTCTGTTGAAGTAAATTTTCAGTGCAGTGGGAGGCATTTTGAATAAAATTATTCTTTCATTATTTTTGTAGATAATAATATGCTATTTGGTTCTAAAAGAAAGAAAAAAACTCAATTGTTGATTCAAACGACAGTAAGGTGTCCTTGCAGTTTTTCATAAATTTCGTTATTTTTCCCTTTTTTAACGTCAGATAACTTAACCGTAAGCTTTTCTTACATTGATTTTAACGTAACAAAACCGTATCCGATTTTCTTGAAGCTAAACTGCACATTTAATCCATTTCGAGAATTCTATAATTTTTTATCATTAATGCTGAAACGATTTCAGAGCCATGGGGGCTCAGGGGATAGGTTGGTTGGTTGGATTTTATTGGCGCAAGAGCCAGAAATGGCTATACTGCGCCAGGCACTAGGTTAAAATTTGGTCACAAGGTTAAACTACGGTGTTATTTTTTAAAGCAGAGAATAAAGTCCTATGACTTTGATAAATTTTAAAAGATTGTGATGTATAGGGTCACCAAGTAAAGATTGAAGATCAGGGTTAAAACTGCCAAAGAAATTTTTTCTCAAGTATTTGAATCGTCTGCAGTCAGTAAAAATATGCTTAATGGTGATAACAACTTGACAGAATGAACAAACAGGTGCAGGTTCGTTTTTCAATAAGTGCATATGGGTATATCGTGAGTGGCCAATGCGTAGCCTGTTTATTAAAACATGAGTTTTACGGTCAATGGGCATTATTTTATTGTTATCAATAGAAGGGAAAATTCCATGTAATTTATTATCATTTTGTGTATTCCAGTGTTCTTTCCAGGCTTGATAAACTGATAATTTACAAATTCGCTTGATGTCCAATGGTGCTAAAACATTCCTGCTTATGTTATGAGTACTTTTTGCAACTACATCAGCACATTCATTCCCGTGTATACCGACATGGGATGGTATCCAACAAAAATAAATATTGAAACCTCTGTCATATAGTCGAGTGATGTACTTTTGGATTTTGAGTATGACTGGGTTTAGACCGATGTCTGAAATACTTGCTATAAAACTACGTGAGTCAGTATATATTATCCACTTTAGATAAGTTTGGTCGAAAATATAGTTAAGGGCTAGTAAAATAGCATAACATTCCGCAGTAAAGACTGAAGAATCAGGAAGCAGTTGCTCAGATACAGTAGAATTTTCAGTAACAACACCACAACCAACATGATTATCGTGTTTTGATCCGTCAGTAAAAATTGATTCAAAATCGATATATTTATGGCGATGTTCATCAAATTTTTGAGTAAAAACACTTGAGCTAGTGTCAGATTTTTTAAAATTATTAAAAACGTCTAACACACAATTTGAAACATCAATCCAAGGTGGGATGATGCCTGTGTTAGTAAAAACCTCAATATCTAAAATGTTAAAATCATTTAAAATATTGGTGATTCTAATCCCAAACGAAGGTATATAACAGGGCTGTCCAACTGGAGGCCCGCGGGGCGCATGCGGCCCTCCAAGACATATTGTGCGGCCCGCCAACTTCTTATTCAGGCTGAACGACCTTAGTTTTCCCATTAAAATGTAAGCAAATTGTTTCATAATCCTTCTGTTCCATTGTTTTATAATTAATAATTCAACTATTAATTGTTATTGTATAAGAGGTAAGAGGTCATTGTTCAACTTTTTCAAACTGCGGCCCGCCAGGTGATCAGTGACCGGAATTCTGGCCCGTGGGCTCTTTGCAGTTGGACAGCCCTGGTATATAAGATGGACGCGAGGAGAAGTGAGTGGTATATTGTGGATGAACGACACATGAGTATAGTGGATGAAGTAACTTCGATTTAATTTTAAAATAATAATCCAATGATAGTTTAGAGCGACGGAAATGAAGAGAGGGTTCCGAACATAACGCATGCAGACTTTCAACTCGTGAAGTCCTAAATGCACCTGATGATATTCTCAATCCTTGATGATGGATAGTGTCGAGGTATTTTAAAACGGATTGACGAGTTGAAGAGTATATAGGAATACCATAATCTAGTTTGGAACGTATCACTGCACGATATATTTTTAACATCGAATCCATATCAGCTCCCCATGAACAGTTAGCGAGGACTTTAAGAATGTTTAATGATTGAGAGCATTTTCTCCTAATGTAGTTTATATGAGGTTTAAAAGTTAGTTTAGAGTCAAAAATCATTCCCAGGAATTTTGTTTCTTCAATAGCGTTATTATTTAAAATAATTTCAGGATGAGGATGAAGACCACGTCGTCGACAAAAATGAACACAATGAGTTTTTTGAGGTGAGAAAGTAAAACCATTTTCATTTGCCCATTTTAAAATTTTATTTACAGCTAGTTGCATTTGTCTCTCAAATAGTGTCATATTAGTGGATCGGCATGAAATCCGAAAGTCATCCACAAATAATTCACCATATACTGTTACAGGAAGTTGGGTTAAAGTGTTGTTTATTTTCAATATGAAAAGCGTTACACTTAAGACACTTCCTTGAGGAACACCTTGTTCCTGAGGAAAAATATCAGATAAAATGGAATTAATTTTGACCTGAAAAGTTCTATTGGATAAAAAGTTTTTAATAAAATAAAACATGTTACCACCTATTCCACAGTTTATAAGGTCCTTAAGTATACCATAGCGCCAAGTTCTATCGTAAGCCTTTTCCATATCAAAGAAAATTGAAACTAGATGTTGATTTTTTAAGAATGCGTGGCGAATGTCAGTTTCGAGTTTTAGCAGATTATCTACGGTGCTCCGACCTCTGCGGAAGCCACTTTGGCATTGGGAAAGATGATTTTCGGTTTCAAGTAAATGCATAAGGCGCCGATTTACCATTTTTTCAAAGAGCTTGCAGAGGCAGCTGGTTAAAGCGATGGGTCTGTAACTTGTGGTTTCCTCTGGATTCTTTCCTGGTTTGAGAATGGGTATTACGTAAGCTGTAGACCAGTTTTTAGGAAAAGTTCTTTCTGTCCAGATTCGGTTGTATATTATTAAGAGAAGACTTAAGATTTTATCAGGCAGGTTTTGAATCATAGAATAGTGAATTTCATCAGGACCAGGAGCTGTCGAGTGGGTATTTTTTAAAACATATTGAAGTTCGTTAAGAGTAAAAGGTTTATTAGATTCGCTGTTTCTGTTCTTTGGCGTCAGTTTGATCTTTTCACTATTTCTTTTTATCGTGGCAAATGGTTGTTGGTAAGCAGAGTCGCTAGAAACTTTAGCAAAAGCATCGGCTAGGGCATTTGCTATATCGTGAATATGAGATATAAGTGAATTATTACATCTGAGGATAGGAATATTATTTGCTGTGTATTTACCAGATAATGTTTGACGGTGTGTTATGTTTGATTGACGTAACGTAATTTTTCCAAAATCTTTTTTGGGCATTACGTCGAATTCTGCGAGCCACGGAGCGAGCTTTTTTAAATGCAATTAAGTTATCTGCTGTTGGGTGCTTACGGAAAATTCCCCATCGTTGTTTTTGCTCTTTCTGTGCTTGATTACACTCCTGGTTCTACCACGGTTTCAGTTGTTTTGGTAATTTAGTTAGTTAGTTAGTTGGATTTTATTGGCACAAGAGCCAGAAATGGCTATGCTGCGCCAGGCACTAGGTTAATAGTCGGACTCTAGGTCAAACTACTGATTTATTATTTAAAGCTGAGAATGTATTATTTTAAAGCAGAGAATATAGTCCAATAGTTTTGATGAACTTTAAAAGGTTGTGATGTATAGGGTCACCAAGTAAAGATTGAAGATTAGGATAAAAGCTACCAAAAAGTTTGTTCCTCAAATGTTTGAATCGTTCGCAGTCTGTTAAAATATGTTTAATAGTAATGTCGACATGACATAGAGAACAACTAGGTGCAGGTTCAGATTTTAGTAAATGCATGTGAGTAAAACGAGAATGACCAATGCGCAGTCTATTGATAATAACCTGGGTTTTGCGATCAATATGTATTGTTTTAAAGTTGTCAAGATTAGGATAAATTTCGTGCAGTTTATNAACCACGATAAGAATGAGAATCGATAACTAATAAGGAATTGCAACAAGATAATATATCATATAATAAATAAGAATAACAAGATAATTTATATAAATATATCAACGTAACGAGAAAAAAAATATACATCGATAGTCTAGAAACCAATATTCTGCAAATGATATCCAGAATTTGAAAGTAAATAAAATAATTTTCGCTCACTAGGTCAATGTACTTGAATGTGAAGGTCAGAAACTCAAAACAGGACCGTCGCAAGGGAGAAATTGAAGTATGCTCGGGGCCCCGGGTGCGCCGTACCCGTCACACAAGAGTGTGCCCCTGGGGGGTGTTTTGGTAATTTGGACGATGTCATTTTTGTACTGTGTTTGGCTGCTTCAAGTATTTTATCTGTAAAATGCTCAACTACAAGATCTATATTATTTTGATTTATAAGATTTTCTTCAAGTTGTATGCTAGAGGTAAATTTAGTCCAATTTGTTGTATTCATTTTAAGTCGTGGGGTTTTGGAAAGCTGATAATTATTAGTGCCTGTATAAGTGAGTATTAATGGGAAATGATCACTATTGAAGAGATTATTATATACGTGAAATGACCAGTATGGATACTGAGATGAACTGCAAATCGCTAGATCTATGGCATGAAATGTTTTCGAGGGAACATGAAAATGGGTGCTTTCTCCCGTGTTTAAAAGGCATAAAATATGGTCATCGATAAGTTTTTCAATCATAAGTCCTCTATTATTTGAATCAGGACTCCCCCACATAGGGCTATGGCCATTGAAATCACCGGTTATTATAAAAGGTTGAGGAAGTTGTGCGAGTAAATTGTCTAAATCTGATTGGCTCACATTATCATGAGGAGGAAGATAAATGCAACAAACAGTGAGAAGGAATTGAAGAGATATTTGAACAGCAACCGCTTGTAAGTTAGTGTTAAGTGATATTATACGAGTTGGATACATAGTGGAAGTCATAATCATGACTCCACCACAGGCTTTATTTCTGTCAATGTTATCTTTTCTAACTGAATTATAACCGCGAAGTTTAGCATTTTGGTTAGGTTTTAGTGAGGTTTCTTGGAGACAAATGCAACATGGAGAAAATTTATTCACTATATCAATGATGTCTGGTTTTGTTACATTATAGCTTCTGCAATTCCAAGATATTATTTTTGTCATTATTACCTTCGAATTTTGAGTTAGTTTAGTATTTTTGGGACACAGATTTGGTGGAGTCTCCATCCCATCTTCAGTTTGCATCTGAGAATTAGGCTGTTCGTCGTTTTTATCTTCATATGTGCTCATTGCATCGGATTCTTGCTCAGAATGTTGTTCTTTATTTTTTAAATGCTTTAACCTGTTTTTGTTAAATTTGTTTTGTCTGCTTTTAGGCAAATATTTTTGTTTACTTACTATTGGAGACTGAGTTAGTTTTTGTAGAAATTTGTTTATCAACTGCGGGGTTAACTTCAAGTACTTTTGATTTTCAGATTTGTTTTGTACCTGTGTTGAAGAAGGCATAACGGATTTTTCAAGATTTTGTGTTTGTTGAGATTGAGAGAAAGTTGTTTTTGATGAGCTTGCTGTTTGCCTTGGAGATATTGTTTTAAGTTTAGTATTTCGTGTTTCTGTGATATCATATTGACTGCCT